TAGAACACTAAGTTGAGCGCACGCAATAAGCTAATATGCGATAAGCAATAATCTTGCGATGCGAAAGAGAAGAAGAAGAAGAATATGTTTGCAAATTTATATACAGCCCTATGCCTAGTGTAAACAAAGATAGATCAGGTTCAAACTAACAAAAACAATTTAATGGACGTTAAACTTATTGAATTAAAGGTATCGCTATTTTATAGATTTTGGTTTGAATACAGATAGGGGAAGGTCCATTATGTTACGCAGATTTGACCTATTTTTAAACCCGTCAGAACTTCCCTGAACTTCGGCAGGACTTCACTGAACTTCAGCAGAAGTTCCCTGAACTTTGACAGGCCTTTCCTGAACTACGGCAGGACTTTCCTGAGGTTCGGCTGGCCTTCGCTGAACTTCGGCATGGGTTCTCTGAACTTCATAAGGACTTCCCTGATTTCCAAGAATTGAAATGAAAGGACTTCCCTGAACTTCAGTAGCCCTTCCCTGAAGTTCTGAAAAACTTTCCTGAACTTCGGCAGAACTTCCCTGAACTTCAGCAGTACTTTCCTGAATTTCGGTAAGACTTCCCTGAACTTCGGTAGGACTTTCCTGAACTTTGGAAGAACTTTCGGCAGGGCTTCCCTGAACTTCATCAGGACTTCGCTGAAGTTCAACACTGAACTACGGCAAGACTTCCCTGAGCATTAACAGGACTTTCCTGAACTTGGAATCTTTGAATTGAAGTTGTCATTCCAGTAGTACAATTATTATAACTATACAATAATATTGTGTTTACGAATACAGTCAAAATTTTGATACTTCTCAGCATCAATCTCAATTATGGTTTGAAGGCGAAAAATCAAACCTTCATAGCATTATACTGCCGCTCATGGCAAGTCCGTCCCGTTTAACTGGCTCTGATTACCCAACGAATGAGACAGACAACATTTTAAAATCTTAATGTCAAATGAGGATTAGATCGGGGCTGTGGTGAGCACTGGATGCGCGAACAAGGTAGAGCTCCACCGTAGGAGACAGTGCTCGGTCTGGCAGAGAAAGCCCGGTGGCAGAAAAAGAGAAACAATGAGGAACACACGATCAGTGCAGCCACCGACGCGGGGCTAGATTTGATCATACAAGTGGGCGTCCTTCAGAAAGGCGATCAGCGCAGCCAACGTCGAGGGATCGTAACCAAGCAGATTACTGACGTTCTCCGGGAGTCCATGTTGTTCGCGTAGCTTCTGGAACTCCAGACAGACACACAGTACGTGTTCCACCGAGACGGGGATGCTGCAAATTGAACAAACCTTGTGGAAAGGTGTCCCACCGAAATTACAGGAAATCCTCGCATGGCCGGTCCGGAGTCTTAAGATGATCCGCTGGTCCTTGTACTTTTGGCTGTCCAGGTTTCCTTGATCTTCTTCAGGAAAGTGGTCTGCGACTGAAACCATTCCTGCTGCCAGGCTTCCATAATAGTATTCACAATCTAACGCCTGACGTCTAGGAGGGGTACGTTCCTGGTGTAGCGGGACGGGATGTACCAGATCCCGCCAGTCTGTCCACAGCCTCGTTTTCGGGAACACCGCAGTGTCCGGGGATCCACGTAAAAACGGTTGAAAGTAGGGCGTACCGTGTAATGGCTTGTATTATGGGGTGGCTCGGGGCTGACGCTGTATGAGTCAGTTAACACGAGGATCGGTTGATCTGCCGGAGTGATGGCTGCGTCTAGAATAGCTGTGGCTTCAGTGGAGAAGACGGAACACTCCTCCGGTAGACTTTGACTCGTTGCAGTGTTCGGTCCTGCCACTCCGAGTCCAACTCCAGCCCGCGACCGCGATCCATCCGTAAAGCGATGAAAGTGCCCCGGATAAACCGACCCGAGAAGCTCTGCAACAGTGCGTCTTAAAACCACAGAGTTATCTCCGGCTTGGAATCCACTCTTAATCCGCTTATCTATTTTGACGACGTTTGATCGCCAACTCTTTTCTCCATGCTAGTGGACTCTGGTCACGGTTGGCTGCCGTGTGGAGGGCTCTGTTGCCCTCGTTGAGGAGAAAGACCCTTTCGTTCCCGGATGTCTTAGCAGCGAGGGCAGCGGCTTTCGTAGCAATGACTGCAGCAGATCGATAGCGGAATGGGAGGATTCCGATTTCCACACATGTGGCTTCTGCAGGCGTGGAAGGGAGAAGGCCGGATACGATGCGTACGTAGATATTGTATACCGGAGCGAAGATGTAGTTGAGCTTCTCGGTGGCTAAGCAGGTTATTTCGAGGCCGTAGAAAAGTCGACTGTCGATAACAGCCCGAGCGCGGTTGCTGGAGCGATACGGGCGGGAGATTGTCCTGACTATGTCGATGCGGTTACGAGAGTTTTCTTTCACCATCCTGAAGTGCTGGTTGAAGCTTAGGGTGCGATCCAGTACTACCCTCAGAACACGCACTGTTTTCTTGAGCGGAATCGGTTGATCTTGGATGGTGATCGGTGGCCCTCGAATCAGATGGCCCGAGTGACAGAAATGGCACCGTACACTCTTCAGCGCTGAGAGCTGGAAACCAACCGAAAGCGCCCACCTGCTGACGGCGGAGACTGTTCCTGATCCGCTTAGTCGTTCGTCCCGTTACGACGATGAGTATGTCGTCGGCATTAATGATTACGTGCACGCTATGACGGATGCCTGGGGCACTCCTGTTTCCTCGGGTAACGGATTCGAGCGAGTATTCCCGACAGTCACCTGGAAGGTACGATCAAGGAGGAAATTCCGTACAAAATGTGTGATGTGACCTTCCAGCCCTCAGCCGATGAGCTGCCTGATGACACTTGGTGTCCATGTCCTGTTGAACGCCTTTGAAATATCAAGGGAGACTAACTCCGCATGGTGACCTTTGTCCAGGGCTTCCTTAAGTACACACTTAGAAAAATCCACGTAAATTTAGGTGCTCTGAGACTGACATATACGAGCGTCAATTTTGACATAAAATTGAGTCATAATTGAAGTGAAATTCAGCTCAATCAAACGTACTTTTCGTCGAGTAACAAACTTTTCAGTCTCGGAGCACCTAATTTTACATGGCATGTTTGTTTACGTCTCATCATTTATGTCAAAGATGGATTCCGTCACGTGTAAAATTAGGTATTTCCAAGTGTGTACTTTCCTGAGGGCTGCAAAATAAGTGAAAGAGCCGTGTCCTTGCCGGAACGCATGCTGCCGTTCGTCAAGGATGCCGTTTGACTCCAGGAACTGCTTAAGACGACGATTTACCATTCTCTCCATCACTTTTGCCGCGCAGCAAGTGAGCGCAATCGGCCTAAAGGAGGAGGCTTCATCACTCGCCGTGTTGTTCTTCGGAATGAGCACAACCAAGCTTTGTTTCTAAAGGTCCGGATATGAGTCAGTGAGCCATAGATCGTTGAAGAGGGCGAGTAGCCTGGTTTTTTTTTCTGTCGAGGAAGTGAGTATCCAATCTCGTCCGGCCCGGCAGATTTACCACTACTGCTGCCGAGGGCATATTGAAGCTCCCGGAAGGTAAGAGCTTCGTTGATCTGGAGAGCAGGAACATCGGGTGGAATTCGCAAGTCGCGAATGCTGCTTGTGAAAGGTTTGACGCGCTTGCCACTCAGAGCGTTGACGCGATTCTACAATTCACTCGACGATTGGGATTCGCCGATTGAATCCAGGAAATCCATCCAGCTAGATCGCTACTGGTCTTAGAATGTTGATTTCTTGAGAAAAGTTGCTTGTTTTGACATTTTCTGGAGCTTTGCTGAAGACATCATTACTCTTTATTTTCAAAGACAAAAGTTAGTTTTTCTATGTTCATCATAAACATAATCATGAATAATTTTTGTATCGTTCAAATTGTGGAAGATGTTCATACAAACAAATCTTCTGGAGGCTAAAACAAAAAAAAAAAGGTCAGGCTCTAGGAAAAAAATATCCGCATTTTTCCATTTTGTATCACAGTGCATCTGTACACTAGACTGAGGAAAAATTTGAAATAATCGCTCCACAATGCTCAAACGGATTCAAATCAGGTCCTGATTAGCCTCCCACAATTTTAACTGATTTGGAACCGTTTGTGAACCGTGGAGTGAAAATTTTAAATTTTGCATCAGTCTACTGTACACGCTAAGATCAGTTGCCTTAAGTGATTGACGAGATCGGGTGTATAGCGGACAAACCAAAATATGAAAAAAAAATTCTTATCCCAAATTGGTCCATATATGAGTTAGTTTTATGCAAACTTGTCTTAAATCTACCCTTTGTTTTGTTTGTCCCCTTTGGGCGTAAAAAGTAAACTTATTGTATATACCTATGGTTTTTTTTCTTCTAATATTAGCGTGTGGTTTTTTTTTATCAATCACTCTGCATTTGATTTATATATTTGACCCTCACCCTAAATGCTTAATTAATCATTACATGACCGCACTTATATCACTGTGATGCAATTGAGAACTTAAATTCAAATCTGTACATGAATTCAGAATGTGCTTTTGAAAATCTGGATTCAATTATCTATTAAATAAATCACCCCAAACCGCTCTTATTAATGCATTATTGATAATAGTCTGCCAACAACTGAAATTTAAAGCCACCCATGATAAATTGATTCAACGGACGTACAGCTGTAGTTAAGTTAATCTAACAGGCTTTCATTCCTCGCCGGTCGCTATATCACACACTCTAACTCCGCTCCATTTAAATATTTGACGACATAGGCGCGTGCTGCAAGCCATCCGCCATCACTCTGATGTTGATACCAGATTACAGGATTTTGCCACCGCCTGACGAATTCCAAATTGGCTCTCCGCATTAATCCTGCATGCGAACGGGTATACACTTCAATTCAAATTAAGCGTGGTTTCCACAGATTCGCTACTTATCCTATTGCGGCAATCTAACGTCACTCCAAACCCTTCAGTCTTTCACGTGTCACCCCCCCCCCCCCCCCCCCCCCCCGTTCCATGGGTATTGCCAACCGTATCTAATTGTTATATATTTCTATTGCATTGATTCCAGGAAAATTTCCGCCCACGAGTTCGAGCGCGGCGGTCTGCTGAAGCCTATCGTGAATACCATCGACGGGACACCCACCTTTCTCAGTATTGGGCTGCAGAACGAGTGTTTGCTGTCCGGCGGAGGCCATCAAAGCCATCAGAACGGAGGAGCGTGGGGTGGACCAAGCGGAAGCCAACGTCCTCAGCGGTTATCTCGGAATGAACTTCGACAGCTGGACGAGCGGGAGCTGATATTTGAACTGGTATGGAGCAGCACAGCAATTATGATTTATGAGTCGTTCAATAATTCAATTTTATGATTTCCGCAGGTGAAGGACATCTGCAACGATCTGGACGTGCGGTCGTTGTGCCACAAAATTCTGCAAAACGTGTCAATTCTACTGAATGCCGACCGGGGATCACTATTTCTGGTGCAAGGCAAAAGTACCTGTGGCAGTGATAATACCAAAAAGTAAGTACACAATCTGTGCCATAAACTAGCCAGCAGTCAGTGATTGCACAGCTAATGATGATAAACAATGAGACCTCGCATCAATGTCGCACCTGTCAGGATCCGGCTGATCGAGCGGATTTAATTAGATGGCAGTGTAATATTTCATCAAAAACCACTAGGGATGGACGTGGACTAATATATGAGGACCCTTTTAGCGTCAGCCGTTGCCATATGGACAGTGGAAAATTTATGTGAAGGACACTCTACCTTCATCCAAACTACGATTGCGTTGTTGATAGGTGCTGATGTCGACGGTGTGGCTTGATTGATTGACGAATGAAATAGTCAAACTCGCGAGCCCGCACTGTCATCCGGTCCGTCTGTTTGACGTTCATGTCCACAGTGAAGGATTCTTCGGAAGTAGGAACGGAGAAAGCACAATAGAGCACACAATCTGCTCACTATTCAGGTTTACCTCTGTTTCCCGGATGCTGCGGGGGGAAAGCACACACTCCATTGGAAATATGTTGGTTTCTTTGGTTCATTGGTTGAACATTGGACGCTTAAAGGACGGATGTGGTTTGCTGTTCACTAAAGAAACAATTAGTTTTCTTTGTCTAAATTATTTTTCAGATGACTTGTTCAATTTTTAGTATTTATGGAAAGTTTTTGAAATTGTCGTTCCTTCGAAAATTATGTCATGAACAAAGGGAATGTAAATATTTATATGTTGGCCAGTAGTTAGCAATATCTGTCAATCGGATTAAACATTAGATATGACTGTTGTTTCGTTATTTGGTGTAATATTGAATCGGAAATTCGAGAAGTTATAGCTTCAATATGCTCAAATTTCAATAAGAATCATATAACTAAAAATGAAAAATACCCAGTTGGGTAAAAAATACAATCAAACAAAAAGGGTGCTAGATAACCTTTGAGATAAACAATTAAAAACGTTAACCACGCAATTTGTCGCAGTCGTGATGGAGAATGATTCTTCTTGAGCGGTTCGTTTTCCTCATTTTTCCGAAAACTTCTGGTAAATAAATTGTTATGTACCATTCAGAGTTGACGGTTCTACGTTCTACGAAGTGCTCCGTGCGCGGAATACTTTTGTTGGATTTGGCTTTTCTTGAAACACCCATACAGTCGACTGTTGTTTTGTATAAGGCTCATATGCATAGATCCATGATTCGTCGCCCGTCACGATCTTAATACGTCTTTTGAAGCACCGCGATCGAATTTTCTCAACATTTCCGTGGACCAATCGACACTTGCCTTTTTTGATCATTTCTAGATAGAGCTGGAATTAGGGCGTTACAGCTTTTGTAAACAATGACTTCTTTCGATGATTTCTAGAAAGTTTAGGCTCGCCAACGCATATCAACAACACCATCGGGTAGAGGAAGACTTCCCCTAGCCGACGGGTATGTTGGTTTGCGAGGGCGTGCCTTGAGTTCCTAGAAATCGTCGATAGAAGTCATTGTTTACAAAAGCTGTTACGCCCTAATTCCAGCTCTATCTAAATTTGTCAAATTATGCGGTATCTAACGAGAACAAATCTTTTTGGCGGGCAAATTTTCATGCAGTATTAAATGTATGGAAGTGGAACTAATGCCCAGGAATGCCTCAATATCAGGGTAAGTCACATGCCGATCTTTTGAAATCAGGTCACGCACAGCACAACAGCTGATTTTGGACGTCCCTCACGAAATTCGTCCTGGAGCGCACGATGACCACGATTGAATTCGGAAAACCATCGAAACACGGTGGCCCATCACCAAAAGTTGAATCGAGCACGAACATTTTCTCGAGATGATTCCATTTTCCGCCGAACTGAATTTTGTAACTCACTATAAATAGCACAAGTAGACTCGAATGACAAAGTTTCTGAGCACGCATACAATTAAAAACACTTATTGAAACGATGCTCATTTAGGATTTGACGTATTGAAAAAAGTGTTGCTATATCTCAAAATTTATCGAGCAACTCTCGTAATAAAAATATATCGTTGTGATTCAAACCTAGTGCCACGTTTGAGAATAGAATAGCATATCGACATATACTAACGTGCATAGAATTTTGAAATTTTAAGCTATTATTTTTAGCGCAAAAGTCTATTTTTGTGCAAAACAAACTGACTGAGTTCAGAAAAAATTGTACTTAGGAATCAGTTTTTTTTTTTTAATTTCATTATAGTCACTTTAACACATTTCAGGTCATTCGTATTCGTATTCGTATTCATATCCGGAGAAGTGATTTAAATTCATGACATTTATCGTGAGAGATATGGAAGCAAACCATGCGTCTACTACATCGGTAATTTTTGTTTAACCATGTGGAATTATTTCAGAAATGGTAAACTGAAATAAATTAAGATCACGAAAGGATTTCGGACCTTAGATTCCAACTTAGATTAATCTTGAAAAATCAAATCCGAAGTTAAATTATTCCACATTCTAAAACACTTTGAAATGTTTGAATTTGTATTTGAAAACAGGGCCTTGAAAAAAATAATAATCTAAGCTCGGTGAAATTTAAAAGATTCTGAAACAAGAGATTCTGATGTTCAATTTTGAGAATTTTCCATGACACACGATTTGAAAACAAACATCAAAATGATTTAAAACAAAATCAAGGAAGATAGAAACTTTATCCGTGGCTTTATCAACAATAAATTCAATTAGAATTTCGTAAGTGAATTATAAGGATAAATCTTAATTAATTCTGATGAGAAACAGGAAATGCTAGGAAAAGTGGAATGGAAATTATGAGGAAATTTTGAATTGCCAAGAAAGTTTTGACTATGAAACCCTAACAATGTTCCAAGTAGAATTCGAAGATAGTGCGGAGTAGAAATTCAGAATAATTATGAGAAGAACTCGTTTGAAATATGAGGGATTGTTCCTATAAAATTGTAAGGAATACTGAGGAGAATTCCAATGAAAAAAAAGGCGAGCACTGAGGTACATAGTAGAACTCAAAGCAAAATTCCTTGAGAATTATGTGGAAGATTTTGAAGAATTTCTTAGCAGAAATCGAACGTAATTCAAGAAATAATTAAATCGAAGTTTTTGAAGAAAATTTATAAAAAAACTGAGACAAATTCAAAAGGAATATTCAATTGAATTGTGACTTCCAATGTAATTTGATTTAAAAAAATCTTAAATATATTTTTTTTCGCATGAGTGTTATTTTTATTTATTTCGTCAACCAACGTAGACTAGTACAACTAATACAGTTTTGTTTTCTTAAATATATATTTATATAAAAAAAGTAGTGTCAGCTTTCTTGTTTTTTCATTTATGAGTTGTTATTTCTTATGGAATAAAAATATTGCTTTAGTTTATGCCGAGACATTGTAAAGTCAATGGTTTCGCAGTGTTTATTGTAAGAGGCCATCATGCGGTTTAATGGCCCATATTTGCATAATTTGTGCGATGATGTTTTATGGCAAATAAATTTCGATTTCGGAGTTGCCGAGTGGGTGCATGGAAATTTAATTTTGATAAAAGTTCTGTTGAGTCAATTCGCTGCGAAACGATATCATTTACAAATGAAACCATTGCATATTCACGACGCTCTTTTAATGTTTGTATATTTATAAGCATGCAGCGTGCTTCATATGATGGAAGAGGAAATGAAGTCCAACCTAATTTACGAAGAGCGTATAATAGAAATTGTTTTTGTACTGATTCTAATCTTTCTTCGTGCGTGATTGAAAATGGAGACCATACAATGCTGCAATATTCCAGTATTGACCTCACATAGGCAATATATAGTGTTGTAATTGTGTAAGGGTCCTGAAAGTTATAGCAAAAGCGCTTGATAAAGCGTAGCATGTTATTTTCCCTGTGAATAATTGTATTGTAATGGTCTATGAAAGTTAGCTAAGAGTCTAACATAATTCCTAAATCCCTAACTCTTTCACATTTGTCTACAGTTTGATTTCCTAATGCAATTGAAATGTTTGAAGTTTTCAGGGTGTTACAAAAATCTGATTTTTAAGGTCCTTCTATAAAAAAATCGTTTCATAATTCAAAATCACAAGCAGATAGAGGCATAGCGTCTTCTACAAAGTTTTTAGTAATGAAGCAGCCTACAATTTTGCGGAATGCTCTATATCTCTATCTGGCCAAACTAAAAAGTTAGATTTTGTAGCGCTACCTGTGGTGAAGTTTTGAACTTAAACTTAACTTCATTCAATGGGTCTTGTCATTTACAAAAACTATTCCGTAGACACCCTATTTAAAAAACCACTGTAAAAGGTGCTAATGAAAGAGTTCATGGTTTTGGCCTTTCGCACCACTGCGAAACAGTAGAATTATGAGAAGCGTGTCAAACGGTCGAATGGAAAAAGGTCTAAGAAGAGGGACAAAAGGTTGAATGAATTATGAGAAGGTGGACAAAAGTTCGAATGGTGAGAAGGGGGACTAAAGCTTGAATGATGAAAAGGGGGACAAAAGTTTGAACGGTTTTGTCCCTTTTTGAAACATTAGAACTTTAGTCCCCCTTTGAATCATCCGACCTTCTGACCATTCGACTTTTTGTCCCCCTTCGCATCATTTAACTTTTTGACCCCTTCTCATCATTCGACCCTTTGTCCGTTCGATTTTTTGTTCCGTCGACCTTTTGTACTTTCGATCTTTTATCATTTCGACCTTTTGAACATTAAACCTTTCGTACATTCAACCTTTTGTACATTAAACCTTTTGTCAAGGGGTAGGTTACTCCACACATCCATTTTGGGTAATATTTTTTGTCAGTGTGTCGCAAGTATGCTGATTGTGCCGGTATTAGAGCAAGCTGCGATTGTTTGTAAAATACCCATCCCGGCAACCCGGTATTTCTGACACCTTGAATGTTTTGGTTTGAAATCGCAAGGATAAATCGGATTGAGGATCACGCGGGAAGTGGCAGGTGTGCGACATTTCGGTGTTTTGTGTTCCATAGGGTAATAAAAGTCCTGCACACTTAGTTTTTTCTACCGAGCTCGGCTGTGCAAATCTCGGCAAAA